AGTAACATGTCAGCATATGGTACATGCATGGTGTTGGTTTGCCTCAGGAATTCCAATCCAACTATCAACTCGTAGTCATCTATGATCACCACGCGCAGGTTGAATTTTCCTTCGTAAGGGCCAAGCTTTACTGGTACTTCTTTGGCTATTCCACCCACTGGCTGGGGAAGTGAGTTGATAGCCTTGACACGGCCTCTACCTTTCCCTACAACTAGACCAAGGCGCTCCACCTGAGTCGAGGCTAAGTAGTTGTAGGTAGCACCCGTATCTACCATGGCCCGAATGGGCTTTCCATTCACCTTCATCTTAACGAACATTAAGGTCCTCTCGTGCTTAAGAAGAGTCTCATCATCCGCCTTATTTTCCCTTTCTTGGTGACTGGACATGGGTCCTTCTTCTTATGGATACCAGCACTAGTATCTGCTAATGCCTCAGAAATGGAGCCAACAATTGCATTGAAGTCACCTAGTGGTTCAGTCTGATCCGCATCGTCTGAGTCGTCATCTGTCCCATCATCAAAAGTCTGATGGACGTTCATTTGTGCCTGTGGGCACTCATTGTTCCAATGTGGTCTGCCTCAATAACGGCATCCTGAAGGAGGCTTCCTCCCCCGATCATTGTTATTAGACACAACACTGTTGCTGCCTGTGGAGGTAGCCTTAGGGTTGAGCCCCGATCTCCCCCACTTCTGCTAGGGACACCATTGCTAGACTGGCCCCCTTTGAATCCCGCTCGGGCAGGCGGTTGAGGCCTATCCTTCCGAGCTTCCATTTAATAGTACCCAAGGCATTCAGCTGCTTGGATCGCCTTGGGCAGGGTATCTACCCGTTGTCTTTGTAGCTCCATACGGGCATAAGGTTTCAGCCCTTCTAGGAAAGTGAAGAGCTTGTCTTTGTCCCCATGTCGCGTATGCTTAGCATGAGCGCGGAGAATTCCCGCACGTAGTCCCGCACAGATTTGGTCTGGCGGAGCTCCCATAGCTTTCTCCTTGAATTGTATTCAACATTTTCGGGGAAGAACTGTAGGCGTATGAATGCCTTCAGTTCTGCCCATGTTTCGAGAGCATCTTCACCGGCCTTGATGGCTTCGTATTTCACCCGCCACCAGAGTTTAGCATCACCCTAAAGATACATGGCAATGCGTTCCCTCGTCCGATGTCGAGCCTAGGCTCTGATACCAACTGTTACGCGGCGCCTTCCTGAGATTCCTTGGAAGGGCGACGTAAGGCTAAGCAACTGATGTCAGTGCAGTTGTTGTCCGCCAACTGAGGTCCCCTCCGTACGCTAGACTAGATTGTCAGTGCCGTAGGGGAAAACCAATGTCAAGAGAAAATGAGAGAAGAGGAATGAGAATTGAGAATGAAAGAAAGCTTGATTGCATTAATGAAAGCTATTACAGAAAGGCAACGCGGTGTCGAGGGGGAGAGACACCAGTACAGAGAATTGTTTGCTTGCTAGAAAGTTTGATTGCTTGATCCCCCCTAATAATGCTTAAAAAAAATAATCCAAAGCTACAAGACTAGACTTGATTAAGCTAGAGAAACATAATGGAAGTACATGGAATAAAACTACTCTATATTTACAATGAAAAAGACTTAGTTTACTATAAGGCAGAAAACAGGTCCGTTGTCAGCAACATAGTCTTTGGCATCAGGGTCTGCGCACGCAGCGTTGTCTGCGCGCGCGGCGCTGTTGGCATCTACCTGCGGTTGGGCGCTGGCGAGGGATATTGGTGGGGCGACAGAGGCACATGCGCGCTTGTCACTTGGCGCGGCCAAGACCACAGGGCCGTCCGTGGCGCTAGGCATTGGAAGGCTTGCTAGGACACCACGGGGCGCGCCCAAGGGGTCATGGGGCGCGGCTGAAAAGCCGCCCATGACACTAAGCATGACAATAACCAAGATAATCTTGAAAATTTAGTGTTATTATGTATCTCGTTCTTTTATATTAATTTTGTATCAAAATAGTCGTTTAGGTACCATATATTCTAAGACAAGTTAACTACAAACAGAAGAAAAGTTACCGATAGATAAATTGTGTAGTTAAATAATAAAATTCATCGCTAATCCTACTTGGTGATAGAATCAGTTATCTATTATAAAAAATCATATTAGCTACAAGATGAATTTTGTAACTAATTCTTGTTTTGTAAAGTTAAATTATGTAACAAACTTTCGTAGTAATAATATTAGTTTCTTTTTTACCAAAAAATAAAAGTCCTTTTCCATTTATTTATTTTAACATATGCATTGAGGTAATTTAGGTATTTCTATAAATTAAATTATGATAATTAATTTGTTATCACAAATTAGTGATTACTATTTTTCTCAACAATAATTACTATTCAAAACCTAATGCCATAATAAATTTTAACGAATTTAACAACCAAGCTTCTAAGAAAATACTTATGATTTAAATTTTAAAAACAACAAATAAATCATATGAAAAAAAAAAGATAAAGGCAAAATTGGTCTTTATGATTAAACAAGGACAAAGAAAAAAAAATATCACACAAACACGCAAAGTTTTCTTGTTGGAACTTTCCTCCTTATTTTGCATTCTCTTATGTCTTAATATATTGTATCCTTATTAGGGAAAGATATCAAACACTAAATTATATTCGTTTTTTTAGAACTCCTAAATATAAGGAAAGTTTTTTTACTTTACAATTTTATCCAATGTAAATATATTTTTAAAGAGTAAAAAAGGTGAACGACATTTCACTAAATGTTTTCATGCTTTTAATAGAGTATAAATTACTCCATAGNACCACCACACCCTAGAGAGGGGAAAACATAAATAGTCGATGATCAGTATGCTTCATTATTTAACAACGTCGACAACTTTTGTTTTAATCGTATTGGTTGAAAAACAATTTTTACAATTTTTCTTTTGAAACCCCCAAAAACAAGTATTTAAAAAAAATTGAAGCAACAGCAACAGTAAGATGAGCAATGTAAAAAGTACTAACTAATAACAAGAAAGGTTTTCGCAATATTTAAAGAAAAATTTCCAATATTTTTTTTACTCTCGGAAGAAATTTTTTGGCCATATATACCACTACATTTCTTTCTTTTCTTATGTATAGACATTAGTCATTAGGTATTCAAACCTACTAGCATAATTAATTTGTCATTGATAATTTGTGGACCTTTATTCTTTTTTCATGTTGTAGGTAACCATAGACAGAGGCAGTATAGATGACGAGTTCAATTGAATTTATAATTTTCGATGCGGAATAAAAATTTATGTGTAAAATTTACTAAGAGCCCATTTCGATTGGCTTGTTTTAAGTGCTTTTAAGTCAAAATCGCTTTTAAGCCATTTTGAAGTGTTTGGATAAAGTAAAAAAAGTATTTTTAAACACTTGTTTTTAAGCTAAAATGACAAAAACAAGCCAAAAGCCAAAAGTTAGAATTCCTAACTTATGGCTTAAAAACTATTTTGGCTTAAAAGTCACTTAAAACAAGCCCATCCAAATGGGCTCTAAAATTACAACAAATAGTAAATTTAAATTCATGACTTAAAAAATATAATGAGTTCAATGCTAATAATCTTAAAGGCTGATTCCATAAGATTTAAATTCCAGATTCACCTCTAATCATAAGAATAGGAATGACACTAGTAGTTGGCGATATGGCATGGTAGGAGAACTAATTAATGTTAATGAGTAAGGTTTCATTTTCAACACTCAACCCATTACCCATCTTTCTTTTGCACATTTTCCCTTTGTGGATGGCCTAACGCCATATGCTATCATTTGTTCGTTTTCCAATAGATAGTTTTGAGAAATGGGAAATTCATTTTTTTTTTAATCTACTTAGCCTCCTATAAAACAAGAAAAGAAGAAAGTGACGCAACCACTATCCAACAACCAGAACTTGAATCTTTAAAGCTAGGTTTTGAGATTATGTTTATATTTATTTTATCAAGAGCAAAATTGTCATTTTACCTTGCCATTTTATTTTTTCCCTACTTCTAATTTTAACGATGCTCGCTATTTCGACACAAACGAGGGTCTAGAAACATCTCTCCTCTGTTCCATCATAACTACGGCCTTTGAGTTCTTCTTCTTCTTCAGAATTTCTTCTTCAGAATTTGAAGAATACCATTTCAGGTATGATTATTTCTCAGTTTTTGCTCTCTTCTTCTTCTTCTTCTATTTTTTGTTTGAGATCTCTTAACAATTTTCTATTTCTTGGGTGAATTTCCTTGGTTGTTATTCTATAGTGACATAACATTCTTTATTTTCGTAAGCAGTGATTGGCACTTTTCATTGTACTGCTTTATGATGTGAATTTCAAATGGAAGTTTATTTTTTGCTCAATTTTAATGTACCAATTTAATTAATACTTTGTTAATGAAAAAATAAAGTTATACTTTTGGAATTGATTTAATTAAATGTTCATCTAAGTTATGGAAATAATATAGTAATGCCACTTGTATTTTTTGAGAGATTTATTTCTTATATTGCTTTTTGTTCACTAGACATGACAATAATATAGTTGTGAACTTGTGATCCTTATATGTCAATAACTTATTGACCACACGAACGATAACAGAATGGTTGAAGAAGCAAAGAGGTAATACACCAAAATTTCAAGATAAAAAAACTAGGAGAGTCGAAATTCTTCCTTGAAATTGAATTTGCTGGGTTATAACAAGAAATCTGATGTATCAGCACATGTATGCTGTCATAAATCTCAAAGCTGAGATTAGAACAACGAGATTATAAATTAGATGTGATGACCCGAAAGGTCATCACTTGTTTTAGAAACAAATCCTATGTTCTGATGCCTTAAAATCTCATTTTTACTTCACCTCGATTTGCATGCGTTGTTCGGACCTATATCCGGAAAGCCTTTTATGTGAAAATATGAGAAATAGAAATTTCTAGAGTTAAAAATCTGATTATGGTTGACTTTGGTCAACATTTTGAGCAAACAGACCCGGATCTGTATTCTGACGATCTGGGGTGGTCCGCAGTAAAATATGGGACTTGGGCATATGCCCAGAAATGAATTCAGAGGTCCCAAGCTTTAGAAATCAATTTTTGAAAGAAATTATTTTGCTGAATTATTTATGAAATAAAGAAAAGAATTAATGTGTGAAACCATTGGTCTCTATGGCCTGTATTTTTGGTTCCGGAGCCCGGTACAAACTTGTTGTAGTATTTAAATGATAACTGTGAAATTTGGTGAAAAATGGAGTTTATTTGACGTGATTTGGACCTCCGGTCGAAGAGTTATGAACTTTAAAATGTTCTTGATAAAAATGATAAGTTTTGGGGTTTAATTCATAGTTTTGCATGTTAATTTCATAATTTGATTGCACGAGCAAGTCCGTATGATATTTTTGGGTTAGTGTGCATGTTTGGTTTGGAGTCCCGATGGCTCGGGTGAGTTTTGGATAGGCCACGGAGTGGAATTTAACTTAGGATGTTGCAGGTTTTTAGCTGGTATGTTGCAGGTCGTACGAAGCCTAGCTCGCAAATGCGAAAAGACCTGGTCTGTCTTGGGGTCGCAAATGCGACATAGTCATCGCAAAAGCGATGTCGCAAATGTGAAAGGCCAATCGCAAAAGCGAAGTGGCATGGAATCCTTCAGTGTCGCAAATGCGACAATTTCATCGCAAAAGCGAGTTCGCAATTGCGAACATTAGTCGCACATGCGAGAGTAGCAGTCTGAAGGGTTCGCAATTGCGGCACCTGCAACCTGCAAAATCATAACTTAGACGCATTTCAACCATTTTTCAAACCCTTTCAAAACCAAAACACTCTTGGGCAATTTTTTAAAGACAAGTACTCTTCCTAATCAATTGTAAGTCATTTCTAACTTATTTTCATCAATCTTTAACATCTTTTCTCATGATTTCAACTCAAAATCAAAGGTTTTCATGGAGGAAAAAGAGTGTTTTTGGTAGAACCTAGGTTTTTCAAATTTTGGGGATTTGGACCTCGATTTGAGGTCCGATTTCAAAACAAATTATATATCTAGGTTTGTAGGGGAATGGGTAATCGAGTTTTGGTTCGAACCTCGCGTTTTGACCATGTAGGGTTAAGGGTGATTTTTGACTTTTTGGGAAAAACTTTAGAAAACCTATTTTCATGCATTCGAATTGATTCATTTAGCATTTATTGAAATAGTTTAGTAACTTGTGGCTAGATACGAGCGAATTGGTGGTGGAATCAAGAGGTAAAGCGATAGTTGAGACTTGAATTGTGTTCGTAGCATCGAGGTAAGTGTTTGGTCTAACTTTAGCTTGACAGATTAGGAGTTGTGACCTATTTGTTATGTGTTATTTGTTGAGTACGATGTATAGGCATGGTGACGAGTATCTATACGTTAGTGTCAAGCATGCCCGTGAGTCTTATTCTATGACCAATGTGATTCTGTTTGTATTGTTCATGCCTTATGTGATGATTAATGTTGTTGAGCAAAACTTGTGGAAGTAATAGTGATATTTGAACATTGAGGAGCGTTGGCTCAAGTTGTATAATGAATTGTGGAGGTATAATTGGCAATTGAACCTTATAGAGCATTGGCTCAAGTTGTGAAGTGAGTTGTGAAGTAAAAAGAGAAGAGAATTATTATATTTTCTCCCTTGCCGGGATGTTGTTGCTTTTAATGCTATCTCCCTTGCCGGGATGTTGATACTTTTGATATTGTTCCCTTGCCGAGATTTGATTTTTGAACTATTATTTCCTTGCCGGAATTTTATTGTGATTTTATTTATTTCCTTGCCCTTATTATTTGTGATTGTTGTTTGGGTGAGAAAGAGTTTTAAAACACGAAGGGTGATGCCGTGCATTGTTTTGGTGAGAGAGTGTTAAAGCACGAAGTGTGATGCCGTGTATGATTTTGTGAGGAAGAGTGTAAAAGCACGAAGGGTGATGTCGTGCCGCATGATATACAATTCCGTGCCGATGATATTGACTTTATGATGAGGACGAGAGTAAAAGCACGAAGGGTGATGCCGTGTAGTTTATATTGATTCTTATGGTGAGGACGAGAGTAAAAGCACGAAGGGTGATGTCGTGCACTTGTTTGATTTCTAATTCTTGTTGATACTTGAGTTATGGCGTTCCTTGTATTTACCTGCTGTCATTCTATTATCATTTAATGTTTTCCCGCAACATGTTTTCCCCCTCCCATTCTAAACTGTGCATTCCTGCTTTTATTTTTTGATGTATATGATTTAACTGCACAGGTTTATTTGGTAGTATGGTCCTAGCCTCGTCACTATTTCGTCGAGGTTAGGCTAAGCACTTACCATCACATGGGGTCGGTTGTGCTGATACTACACTTTGCACTGTGTGCAGATCCCCGCGCAGCAGCTTTTGGACCTTAGCTTGGGGTGGCTGCCTTCAGTCCATTCGGAGATCCAAGGTAGTCCTACAGGCGTCCGCAGGCCCTGGCGTCTACCTCTATCCTTTCTTCCCGTTTTATTTACGTATTTCAGAAAGAGTGTTGTATTTACTTTTCAGACCTTGTTTGTAGTATTCCTAGACCGTCTGTGAAGTTGTGACACCAGTTCTGGGTAGTATTTGTTTAAGAAATTGTATTGGAAAGATTTAAATGGTTTTAATTGTTTCTTCCGCTCGTTTAAATTCCGCTGTTTATAAACTGTTGGTTCATAATTATTAAAATATTAAAATGGGAAAAAGGTAATTGTTCAAACGGTTAGTTTGCCTAGCTTTCACTAGTAGGCGCCATCATGACTCCCGAGGGCGGAAAATCCGGATCGCGATATTAAATTGTTGGTATCAAACAAAACCAATAGGTATACCTTTGGAGTTCAAGTTAAATTTCGCAAGTGCTAAGCTTGATGAGCACAGAGGAAACAATATAAGGTCCTCTAGAATGCTAGAATCACCAAAGATTAATTGGCATAACTGTTACAGACACATTGTACGATTGTGTTGTCGGGTATTAGATTGTTTTACAGTGTATATTAATTGACATAAGGTTGTTTCCTTTGTTTATTTAAGTTGATGGATGTAGCAGTGGGGACATATATTTATTTTCCCATCTTTTTGCTGCAGCTTTTTTCCAAGAGCTAAAATACCTGACCTGTCAGAAATAAGGAAGCTTTCGTTCTTGAGAAGTTGCAAAGAAATCTGGAATAAGACCACCAACTCTGAACATTTTCCCATCTCAGCACGTGCATGTTAAGGGTTGATGTTATCTTAAACTTGCTACTCTCGAAACAGGTTATGATTTCGCTAATAGTTGTATCATGGTTTCATTTTTTTTTGCTATGCTAATTATTATACTTTGTCCATCTGTGACGACCCGGTCCGTTGTCTCATGAGTTACCGCTTCGTTTTTCCCATTTCTACTTCTTTATGATTTGTTTATCCGTGTTATGTGGTATCGGGTTGGTCGGATCGAATCCAGAATGATTTTGATAAAGTTTGAAACACTTAGTCTCTTTAGAGTGAGTTTAAGTTGAAAAAGTCAACCGGATATTGACTTATATGTTAGAGGGCTTGGATGTGAGTTCTGATAGTTCGGTTAGCTTCGGGAGGTAATTTGTGACTTAGGAGCGTGATCAGAATAAATTTTGGAGGTTCGTAGTAGATTTAGGCTTGAATTGTTGGTGATTTCCAAATGGTAGGTGAGATTTTTGATGTAGGAGTCGGAATGGAATTTCGAGAGTTGCAATAGTTCTGTTGTGTCATTTGGGATGTGTGTGCAAAATTTCAGGTCATTCAGACGTGGTTTGGTTGAGTTTTGATCAAAAGCGGAATTCGAAAGATTTTAGAAAGTTAGGCTTGAATTCGATGTGTTTTGGTTGATTTGATGTTGTTTGAGATGTTTTGAAGATTGTGACAAGTTTGGATAAGGTATTGGGATATGTTTGTGCTTTTAGTTAAGGTCCTGGGGGCCTCGGGGTAATTTCGGATAGTTAATGAGAAGTTTGAGGAATATTGCAGCTCCTGAACTTTTGCTGCTTCTGGTATTTCCGCATTCGCAGATTGGGGACCGCGGGTGCGATGCCGCACGTGCGAGAGATAGGCCGCAGAAGCAAAAAAGGGCTAGAGGGGCAGGAACCGCAGAAGCGGCTAATGGGACCGCATCTGCGAAACCGCAGATGTGGATAAGGGACCGCAGAAGTGGGAATGCCTGGAAAGGTAGCGACTGCAGATGCAGTGGATGGACCGCACCCGCGAAGGCGCAGATGCGGAAAGTTGATCGCAGAAGCGGTTTGGTCCATTAAGTGATTTCCACAGAAGCGGAAGAAAAATCGCATATGCGGTACCGCAAAAGCGGGCATTGTGCCGCAGATGCGAAAATGACTGGGCAGAAAGTATAAATTTTAGCCTTCGCGAATTTTAGCTAATTTCACCACTTTTGACTTCGGCTTTGGAGCTTTTTGGACGATTTGAAAGAGGGGTTTCAAGGGAACTTCATTGAGGTAAGGAATTTGGACCTAAAACTCGTTCCTATGCTATTATTTCACGAATTAGAGCTAGAAATTATGGAAATTAAGGGTGAAAATTGGGGAAACTAGGGCTTGGAAACTTAGACCTAGACTTGAGGATTTGAAGGACCATTTGAGGTCGGATTTCAGAACTTTTGATATTTATGAACTCGTGGGGAGATAAGAAATCTATTGATGTAAAAATTATTGAATTCCGAGACGTAGGTCCGGGGGCAGGGTTTTGGTAATTTCGGGATTTGTGTCATATATTGATTGTTTTTGCTTGGGCTTCATTCCCTTAACATATTTTGACGTCCTCGTTTTGATTTTGGATAGATTCGATGGGAGTGGAGGCTGATTTGAGGGGAAAATGCATCGCGAGCTAGAGATTAGACCGGTTCGAGGTGAGTAATGATTGTAAATGATGTTCTGAGGGTTTGAAACCCCGGATTTGCACATCGTAGTGCTATATTGAGGTGAGGCACACGCTTGATGACGAGCGTGGGGTAGTGCACTATTTGGGATTGTGACTTGGTCCGTCCCGATTGATGATTTTTACTGCGTATTTGACTAAAATCTATTTGCTATCATCATTATTTGGGCTGAATGCCATATTTGGGCTTCGTGCCAACTATTTGAACCCTTCGAGGATTTTTACTGGTATTTCCTTACTGTTTTGACTTTTCACTAAACTCAGTCATATTATATTTCACTTTTTTCGTACTCAGCCATGTTTGCTCTGTTTTAAATACTTACATGATCTTTTAAATGGTAATTTGGGCTGAGAAACAAGTTTTACTACTGTCCGAGTGGCTTGTGGGGATTTTTTTGACTGAGTAAGGTCGAGGGCCTATGTTGTGAGGAAATATCTGATACCGATTATGAGGCCGAGGGCCTGAGATATGTATGCCACGAGGTGGCTTGATTGATATGAGGCCGAGGGCCTAGTGATGATTCCACGAGGTGGCTTGATATTGCGCTTGGGCCGTAAGGGGCCCCTCCAGGAGTCTGTACACCCCAGTGAGCGCAGGTACCCATTGTGATGTGAGATTGAGCCCGATGTGCTGGTATTAAACTGAGATGTTGCCCAAGGAGCGGTTTTGTTAATACAGTGCCCGAGGGGCGAACTTCTATGTGTTTATTCTTCCTTAATTGCCTGTGAATTACCTATTTACTTGTTGAAAATGACTTTTCTTATCTTTTCACTGGTTTGCTATTTTCAAGTGATTTTTACTGCTTCATTATTGAATGCCTTGTGCCTTACGTGCTTTCTTAATTTCAGTCTTTATTTACATTTGTTACTCACTGAGTTGGAGTACTCACTTTACTCCCTGCACCCCTGTGTGCAGATTCAGGCATAGCTTGTTCCGCTCCCGAGTGTTGATTTTCCAGCTTCAGGCGGGCATTCGGAGTTCACGAGGTAGCTGCTTGGCATCCGTAGTCATGTGTTCCTCCTCCTTTATCATTTCTATCTCTCTTCAGACAATTGTACTAGCTTATAGACTTAGCAGACTTGTATTATGACTTATAGATGCTCATGACTAGTGACACCCCGCTATCGGGTTGTGTTGGGTTGTACTTCCGTATTTTTATGATATTATCTGCTACTTAGTATTATTAAATTATGTTTTAGACTGCTTTCTTGTTGTTTAACTGTTTAACATCGAATTGGGAATAATTGGCTGGCCTTGTCTTCATGAGAGTCGCCATCATGACTGGGTCCGGGTTTAGGGTTGTGACAAGTTGGTATCAGAGCCTAAGTTACATAAGTCTCACGAGTCATGAGCAGGTTTAGTAGAGTCTCGCGGATCAGTATGAAGACATCTGTATTTATCCTCGAGAGGTTGCAGAACCTTTAGGAAAAAACTTCATATTCTTGAAATTCTTGTCGTGCGAATTTGTTGATCCGAGTACTAAACTTCTATTGTTCTATTCTCTCACAGATGGTGAGGACACGCGCTACCGGTCAGGATGGACGACCACCAATACCACCAGCCATGGCCACCAGAGGCCGAGGATGCGGTCATGGTCGTGGTAGGGGTAGAGCAGCTAGGGCAACACCTGCAGATCCACCAGCTGCCCCAGTTCAGGATCATGTCCTAGTTATGGGCGCTTCAGCAACACCAGCTGTGCCCATTGTGATTTCAGGTCTTCAGGAGGCCTTGGCTTAGATCTTATCAGTTTGTACTGGCCTAGCTCAAGCGATTTCAGCCACTATAACTGCAGCTACTTCTTAGGCCAAGGGAGGCAATCAGACTCCCGCCGCTCGCACACTTGAGCAGGTCGTGCAGGGACTT